ACGTACGGACGATACGTACGCGACGAACGTACGTAATAATAGTATAGTATGTTGTTGTATATATATATATATATATATATATATATATATATAGTATATTTATATAGCTAGACCAAATATCGATATACTTACAGGACATGGTAGCTATGGAGCAGGTACACAAACGGTGGCTCAAGCAGATCAGGCCGATTGATTCTCGGGCGAATGTGGGTGGGCGGAAGTCAGTGGATATGTACAGGCGCAAACACGGTCCCAGGGAGAGTGCGATGAGTAGACACTCAAACACACCAGCATTCTCGGACGATTTTAATGTGTTACCAGATGTGCACGAGACAAAGAACAAGGACAACCGAGAACGTAACGGTTTGCTACTGAATACGTCTTCAGAGAGTGCGCAGCTACAGGGTATGTAGACCTAGGAGTGTTCTGCCAGGTAGAAGGCGTTTATACTTTGTGATGGACCGCCCTATACTGTACTGCATATAAGTGTGGTGTTACTTGTAAGCGAGAGCTATAACCTGGTGAACCTTTGGCGTGTGTAACCCTCGCCCAAATGCGGTCGGTGATCGGATCCCATCTGAGTAGACTCGGTCAGCAAGTATTACTGTGATGTGGGTGGCGAGTGGTTTGCGAGGGGTCTCTCATACCGTGTCATTTGGCCATTGTAGCACTTGTGCCTAGTGGTGTCAAGAGTGTTTTTCCACATGCAGTGGGGTCCGTCGAGGGTTATATAAGCAAACGACATACCTGATTTTGTATGCAGGTACTGTTTCACTGGCGTATGTAATCCACTAGCTAGCCATTGCGAAATAAATTTCCAATCATTTATGCGTCTGATCGCTGCACGTCTAAGCATGTGTAGATATAAAATCATGTATAATATATATATATATATATAAACATATATATTATATTATATGTGTATATGTATATATAAATATATATCTCTGTGTGTGTGTGTATACATATCTATATATATATATATATATATACGTGTGTCTGTCTGTGTCTGTTTGTATGTTTCAGTATATTATCATATTATTATATGATTATAATATTTTATTATATTATACAATATTATATATATTGTTATATTATAGTATATTATATATATATATATATGTGTGTGTGGTTTTGTGTTGTGTGTGTTTATGTTTGTGTGTGTGTGCGCGTGTGTCTTGATAGTATAAGTCGAGTAACGAATATCATTGGCCTCGCCACAGCGCCTGAGAGCCACGACTCTCCACGCAGCGGAGACGAGTTGTCGATACAAGCATCAAACGACAATGCCACCAAGAAGGAGGATTGAGTAGTAACCCTCCAGGAGAATTTTGAGACAAATATCCAAAAATGGTATAAGCCTGATACTCGACCAGACGACTTGTGAAACAGGAAACGATATTTGAGAGCGCCGAATCGATCCAAGTTCCCCCCTGACAGTGGTTCACCTCCGAATACGACCGTAAATCGGGAATCAAGCCGTATTGAAAGATGATTTATCTTGGTCTGTGGGCGTTTGCAGAGTTCTCCATCATGTTACCCTGGCCTGTGAACACTTACCTATTGCACCATCATTTTCCTCCTGGGGATAGTTGGAGAATGAGTAACACTTGCGCACGGACGTGTTCACTGCAGAAGCTATCATTACTACCTGTCTCACTTTTGAGAAGCAAACCGATATGTATATGTGCCTGGCTGGTCCAGTGTAGATCGATCAGTTGATATAGACCAACCAACCAATGAAAAGATTAATTATCAGCTTCAGCGGCAAAATAAAGACCAATCACCACAAGTGTTTGCAAGATATCTTTGGTCATTGGCACTACAACCTGTTCTTGTATGTGAGCAGTTACAACTGGGGTTTGTGCCTGGTTAGACACTTTAGACTTGCCTGAGGCGATTTAGGATCAATTGGTCGGGAACAGTAGACGTAATTCTTTGTTCGGCTATATTGGAAACAATAAATTACCAATTGCTATGAGTCCTTTTGGGCAAAGTGCTGTACTAGCACTACAGCTTATTGTTGTACATAGAAATTATCTATTAAAAATGACGGGAAGGTATAATAATTCCGAATCGACCTTGCTACCCTTGCCTCCACAATTTGGAGGTCTGTATTGTGCACTGATAGCATGAGCGTTGACTTTTGGTGCAAGATTACTCCTAAGGCTGCAGCCAATTCTTAAATCTAGCAATGGGGTATCATTAGTTGCAAATGTCAATTCGGCTGGCGCGTGTGTGGTATCTTCGCGCAACACTATCGAATACAATTTATGGAAAATGGTCGGTATATAACAGTATTCGAGGTATAAACCCAAATCGAGACTACGCAGCGCAACTTCAAAAAAAAATTTACATCTTCTACCAGAATGATAAATACAATAGGCACATATTTATATAACAGCCTATGTCATTTTTTTAGTAAAAATTGATATTAACGATATAAGCTCACTCGCGGTAGAACATGATACGTAGAGCTACATGTCAGACATAACTCCGCCAAAAAAAATTGGACTGGAGTGTTTAATATCCGTGCACCGAAGAAGTATCATTTCATTTCTGCACCCCCACTTCACTTTTGGTTTCACCACCATTTACGTTTCACTTCAGTACCCACTCTGCTGAATATTTTCTTATATACGGTCGTATAATGCACGAATTGAGAAAAGACTGTGAATCATCATTCTAGTCTCTATTAAAAAGTTATATGCTTGATGCTTGATATCTCTTAATTGCTATCAGACCGGATTTTACGATTGTGCACTTGTTTTATTATTTTACTTGTTTTAATATTACACCGAACCTGGAGTGGGAGCTCTGATAATTGAGTTTTCTATCACTAGTTTGTGTTTTATTCGAATTTGTTTAATTTCTGCTCGTGCTTCTTTGCTCAGGTCCAACTGTGCATGTTTGCAATGGTGTACTGGCTCTGGTACACTGGTTTAGACATAGTAACAGACTATGAGCATGACTAAAGTATAGTCAACCATTTTACGACTAAATTATGCAAGGTTTGAATCACAGATCGCCAGATAATCACGATCCAGTTACGTGATTCGCTTTCCTTGTGGATATCCCATGCAAGTATTCTAGAGTGCTACATCGTTCACCAAAATGTTGTTCCCAAAACGCACTCAGCCTGGCTTCGGCTTACGAAACTACCTATCCGAGAGCGCAATCCAAAATACAACTCAGTGCCTCAGTTTGTGAACATGCTTTCAATTCATTGTGCATACAGTTCGGGTCGAGCTCGTCCACTCTTTTATACTTTAAAGACAGTATGGAATTGTACTCTGTATGCCCAATACGTCTTTCGCCCATCTATTGTCTGCCCATGCCGGAAATATTTATTTTGTGTACAAACATAGACAACTGCACAAGTTTATCAACTTGGAAGTATATGTAGCTACGAATACTAAATCTCGAGGCCAGGACACTGCCGCGAATTTTAGCCTGGCAAGCCACAGATAAATATGAACTGAAATCTGGTATTTCAAGCTTTATAACCTAGATTGGGTTTTCTTGCTTGTCCAATGTTGCTAAAGATAGATAATCGACCCGGTATCGTACAGTAAGGCTAACTGCACACTGCCCCGTTAAGCGAAATGGACATGTGCGGCACGTAAACTGTGAGAAGCAATATAAATGCAATAAAAAGCGTCTACATTCTGTCAGATGCCAGGAAAGCAGAGTACGCACGATTGTCTCATTCATCACGACGCAGGGCGATTTAAACCAGTGCCGTTACAAAATATGTGCGAATTTAGATAGCTCTGGGGGAGCTGCATAGCTTTTGGGAGGTTGCAGTGGGTATGGTTTTCAACTCGAAGAGTCGAAAGTCGAAGCCCATTGTACAATGTACTGTCGTTCACTTTATCAGAACCGATGCTCTGATCGACCATTCAAATTATGACTATGTCCAATTGTCAATACGTATTCTTCGATTGAATTTTGTAAGAATAGACTTCCTCGAGCGATTCGTACTTCATACTATATTTACAACTTACTTCCATGTACTAGAGCTACCCGACTATGCCGCTCACTCCTACTGTGTAGACCAGCATATCCATATATAAATATACCTGTACTCAGTTCTGCGCTTCTATATCACATTCATGCCCAAAGTACTACAGTTAGTCAACTCTACTCTCAATTATCAACACTACATTTAACACTCCATTTACATAGTTTTTACTTTTTAGACGTGACTTTTTTTATCATTTTTATATAGAACATTTTTTTAAATGCTCTGAGAGTTTTTAGGAGAAGAAAGAAGAAGAAAAAAGAAGAAAAAAGAAGAAATATGACCTGTCCTCTTGTGTCCAACCGACGGCGACACGCGTACCCCCCAGAGGCTACCACCCGCATACGCCAAGGCGGCCGAGCCCGAGCCCCAGGGGGCCCAGCAGTTCAATCCCCAGCCCCCAACCCAAGTCCAACTGTATTTTTAGTCCCACAATAGCAAACACACAACACACGCACAACAAGACGACGAGAAGAGATTGAGAGAGAGAAAAAGATTTTCGCGAGTCTGTGAGAGATATTTACAGTGTCCTCATGACTGTTGTCGACTCTCTAGGAGTAGTCTCCAGTCGCCACTGTCCTAAGTCCTAGCTCCTAGTCCCGGGCCTCCCCCCTTTATTCATTTATAAATACGTTACTATAAATATGGCCAGCTGTTCAATTTAGAAGGCTATGGGCCTGTTGATTTTATATATTTTAAATACGGGAATAATAATTTTACGTTTACGTTGAACTTTTTGTTTATTTGTGGCGCTCGGGCCTCAGGCTCTCAGCCGCATAGCTTTAAAAATAGATTTAGGACCTGGGTCCTGAGACCGAAGGCTGAGGGCTAAGGGCTGAGGATCTGACAACTGAGCCTGACTCCTAAGACCTGAGGTTCAAATATGTACAATTTTTTTTCTATTTATTGTTTTAAATAAAAATATTTCTCGAGAATAAGAGAGAAAGGACCTGCCTTTTATGTAGTCAGCAAATACATATATACTTGTCGCATTTTCATTGGTGAATTTTAGTGCTGAAGTGTATCGATCGTATTTTTTTGAGTTCATAAAAGTTCAACCGTTTATACTAAAAACCCTAAAGCTATGGAGAGACTTAAAGATACCTTTTAGTAGTAGTAGACAGATGTGGTATCCAACGTAGGACTGATTCTATTGGTTTATTATATAATTGTGTTTCCAGCGGAAAATTGTAACCATAATCGTACGAATGCGGCCATTGGGTCAAACCCAAATTCTGGCGGCACATTACGGGTTTTAGGGTTTCATTTGTTGAAGTATATTTATTTTTAATATAGAAGAAAATGTTTTAAAGTTACCTATTGTCTCTGTATTTTAGAAAGATATGTAATATTTCGCTGGTTTCTATATTTATAAATTTACAAAAATTTACATAATTTACATTTATACAAATTTACATATACATTCACATACATACATATACATATATGAACACTCACACACAAACAT